CTTGGGAGCTACACTTGGCAGGATCCAGGACATGGGGCTTTTCTGCCATGGCGCCTGCCTTATGGAACATCCTCCCCCCACCCCCCCGAAGTGAGGTTGGCTTCATCCCTATTGATTTTCCGAAAGTTCCTCAAAACCTGATTATGCCATTAGGCCTTAGGGCCTCAGAGAACCGGCAAGGTACTGAGGTGGCTCCATTGTTGTTGACATCTGCTGCCCTCTCTTAGCCTTTAATCACGATTTTTAAAATTTTCATGGATAATAATTGCTTTTTTATACAGTATTACTATTTTATACTTTTTATTATATGCTACCCAGAGTCACTTTTTCGTGAGATGGGCAGCTATATAAATGTGATGAATGAATGAATGAATATAAATACATTTCCAAGGCATAAAAAAATCCACATTAATGGTCTGTAACTCAAGAAAGCCAAACCATTTTACATGAACATCTAAGCTAGGACAGAAACCTCACCAATACATCAGTGCCAAACAAAGTGAATCTTATTTGCATTAAAAGGTAGAGTAAAGGTACTAAAGTTTGGGATTAGAAACTTTTGCTTATAGCATCTTTGATGCAGCAGTTCTTGTGTTTACTGCTATTATTAAAAAAAAAGGGGGGGTTATTACCTGATGAGACATAAACTGATCTCGAAGTATAGCAGCAGAATTCCACATGATGTTACCATGTAATAAAATCTTAGCTTTTTCAATCCATTTTAGTATGAATTCTAGCATTTCATTATATTCATCTAAATGAGAAACAGCCTGCAATAAAACAAGAAAATTTCAATACATTTGAAGCATCACTGTATACAGGACTTATGTCTTAGTATGTCACTCACTCAGTTGTTTACATTTACATTTCTCAAATAGAACATTATAATTCTACTAAGCCATTTACATTAATATTAATGCATTGAACATATGCATGTTATCCATGTGTTTTACACAATTATGCTTTAAGTGTTCATATCTGGGGTACACAAAACATCAACATTTGTGGGTGAACGTATTCTTGTGTAAATGCATTCAAGAATGTGCATATGTCCTTCTTTTGCTCCCCACATTGTAAATAGCTGTGGCAATGGTTTTCCTTCTGCTGAAAAGAGAAAGTACTTTTCACCCAAATGTGTTTTTATATTATATTATGTATTGTTCTTTACCACAGTGTAATAAACTAGCATATTGCTAACTCAATAGATTTAACACGCACTAATATCTTATTAATTAATTGTAGCTTGAATTCATGGTCAACAGTATAACTAATTAAAACAGGCTTTTATTCAGTATTATGAAATAGCAGGAAGAATATTTTCTGGCTAAGACAACTTTGTGGGGAAAAAGAGATGAAGAGAAATTTACAGTTTTTATAAATGAAGTAAATGCACCTTTATTCCAAGAAAAGGCATTCTATAATACATGTAAGAAATAGCCATGAGCTCCTATAGAAAAGGTAAGATATAACTCTATTAAATAAATAAGAACTTCAAACTAATCACATTTCTGTAATTTCTGTCTTTTTATAATGTGTTTTGTATTCTGATTCTGTTACTCTTGTTGAGGGACCATGTGGGAGCTCAAGATCTCAATTTCAGCTACTGGAAAGGAAATAATCTGCCTATCCAAAGTCCTTGGGAAGGACTCGACAGGTGGAGAAAAATGTCAAATCCAGTCTAAACATCTGGCCAACTGTGCGACCAACAACAACAATAATAGTAATTTCTGATAACTCAGATATAGTGGCCACATATTTTCAATAGTTAAGGACTGGCTTTTTTAAAAAAGGAGAAAGAAAATAAAAGTAGACATCGGGAAGCTGAACTCTGTAACAACAGCATGGTGTATGATTTATGGAACTGAAGGTCTACACAAAGACTTTGCTCTACTTAACAGAACATATTCTTAACGATAAACTTAAGAACATACCAAACCAATACAATGCCATACCTGATTGAGCTTTGATGCCCTGTATTCAGCTTCCCTAACTATCTGTTGGTGGAATGCTGTTAGTTTATTAATTTTGCCAGCCAGCTGTTTAACTAGCTGAGGGTTTTGCTCTGCAAAGCTCTGGACAGCTGCATCAAGTTCCAGAAGCTTTATGTTACAGCTGTCCAGTTCTTCATCCAGGATCTGCAGTAGAGGAGAATGTTTTAGTTATAAGGAAACTTGTAAAGAGCTATTTCTTTTCAGACTTCATGTTACTTTTACATTTTTTCATGACTTCTATTTTGTCACGTAGCTCAGTTTTTTAAAAAATCACATGTGGCAAAGGGATAAAACATGATGTACTATTGCCACTTGAAGTCCATTTATGGCTTCCAAGAATGCAAAGATGCTTGGCAACCGGCTCGCAATTACAACTTTGCAGCATCCCATGGTCATTTGATCGCCATTTGTGACCTTCGCTGCTGGCTTCTGACAAGCAAAATCAATGGGGAAGCTGGCAGAAGGTCACAAACGGTGATCATGTGATGTTGCGCCTAACAACTGCATGGGATTTGCCTAACAACAGCTGCTGGAACTGCTATTGTAAGTTGGTGCATTCACATGATGCCGCACTTTACGACCACGTCACTTAGCAACGGAATTCCCAGTCCCAATTACCATTATTAACTGAGGACTACCTCAGACACGACTTAACGACTGAACAACAACAACAACCTGTACTACTTTACACATTCAGCTGCTCCCACAGGTGATGAGGCATCTGCTGTAACATTAGTCCATCGTTATCAAAACTATTTCATACTAGGGCACCTCAGAAAGTTGTAGCTTTTTGACACAGTGATGCTGAAGACTGCTGTCTCCCTGCTTTTTAACTGAAGTACATTCTCAATATTTCAGTCAGATTTCATTAAAAAAGTCATGTGCTAATCTTATGAAAGATAGTTTTGATTCCACTGAATTCTTAAATAAGGAAAATTAGATTTTATACAAAATATTTTACTTTTTGATCTCTTTTAGCTTGTGTTATATCATTTGTCTTCTCTTTCAGTTTCAGTTGAATTGAATTGAGCTCTTTGGCTACGTCTTGAATCTTGTGGTTAAATTCTTGATTTAATGTTTTGTTCTGCTGAGCTTCTTTTTCTTTGGCTTGAATCTGCCAAAAAAACAAACAGCAAGTTGAAAAAAAGTAAGTTAAAACATGCTGCTTTACAGTACTTATATTAATGTGATCGTGTTTCTTATATCAGAAGAATTATATTACTAGAACATATTGACAGGAACTCAAACATCCTTGTTATAATAATAAATACAAGAACGTTGTTACACTTTAGAGACTAATGGTCTGTTTTTCTACTCTATCAGAAATAACAACTTATTTATTACATTTATATTGCCTTTTCTTCAGGAACCCAAGGCAAGGCACAAAGCAATATTTTCTATGAACATAGAAATTCTATGGGATATAGTATTCTATGGAGAATAATCTCCAATATTTCCTAACAACCCTACCCCAGTGAGATAGGTTGAGCTAGCATCCAAGATTGCCCAGTAAGCTTCAATGGCTGAGAACGGATCTGAATCTATTCCTCCCAGGTTTTAGCCTTAACCATTGCACCAAACTAGCTCTAACAGACATGAGTGATTTTTTATAGGTATTTCTAGATACAGGAAAAGGGATTGTCTAGGGCTGTGCTATCTTCTCCATCCTCTCTGATCTTGATCCATGGCTGTGCAACTGGGTGTATGTGTAGTGATGGTGGTGGGCCTAAGCAAACTACAGAGAGGTGTAGTTAACGTTATATACAAAAAATGTAGATGGTCTTCTGTTTCAAGGAATTACTGCTATGCTGTGACATTTGCACATGGCCAGAGTGAAACCAGAGGGAGAGGGCTTCACTGAGAATTAACATGGACCTCCACCATATCTATAGTTGCACTGGGGTAGTTGGGACTAGATGATGGGTATGTGGTGCAGGCGATTTTGTTATTTTTGCATTCATTAATTTACTTCTACAGCTTGATGCAGTGACTCTCATGGCATTTTAGCATTTAAACCTATTATGGAATTGCAGCGTTAAGTAATTTTTACCTGCTCATGTATATTTACTAGTGCCAAGCCTGTTTCTGCTAACTGAAGAGAAAGCTCAGAAGGTAAAATGGTATAAAGTCCCAAGTATTTATTCTGCTGCTGTTCAGCCATTTTCTCAACAGCTTGACGGCGAACAGTGGCTTCATTCAGGAGTGCCTAAAGTATATGGAGGATATAAAAGGAATACACTGTATGGTTGTTTCACATTAAATCTGGCACAGAGACTAGATTTTGACACAGTTACAAAGTACTTTTGTTGACTGTCATTGTGCTCTCACCACTATATAACCTTTGCGTTAAGCCTTTCACACACCACTGTATGGGGTTGGCATTGATACTTATGCATAGCAGCAGCTTCTTGTTGTCTTTTTATATATAACTTAAGGTGGCGAACATGCCTAATACTCCTTCCTCCTCCTATTTTCCCCACAACAACAACCCTGTGAGGTGAGCTGGGCTGAGAGACTGGCCCAAAGTCACCCAGCCAGCTTTCATGCCTAAGGCAGGACTAGAACTCAGAGTCTCCTGGTTTCTAGCCACTAGACCAAACTGGCTCTCCTGTGATTGTTGTGTGTATGTGTGCGTGTTTGTGTGTATGTATGTCTCTCTCTCTCTTTGTGTATATATCAATCTTGTGATTGTTATAGAAGAACAACAGCATTAGTTCAAATTGTTGTGTCAAATATGTTGTGACATACATTATCAGTTCTCTCCATTATTAAAACAGTTCTTTAGATGAACTATGAATTTTGAGGTATGTCCTAAGACATAGTTCCAATTTTAGTATATGTGCTGCTGAAGTGAGCACGTTTTATAGTTTGTACAGCAACATACTGTAGCATTCTGCAGATATTCTGCACATATTCACAGCATGAAGTTGTATTAAATGATACAGGTTTGACATACCTGAAGTTGTTCAAGCTGAGTATCGCTTTCTATTGTAGGATTTAATAAATATTCTCTGCCTTCCTGAATCCAAGTTTTCACTTTATTAATATCTTTTTCTACTTCTTCACGTTCCTTTAGTTCTTGTTTAACCACTTTCCCACTTCTTTTCACCTTCTGTTGCATGCTTTAAAAAAGTTTTGTTTTTATAATCAGCATAGACATTAGTTCATATATTTCATCTTACATAACATCTGAGAACATTAATCAACTTGTGATTTACAAAATAGAAAATATTTAACAGGGTTGAAATTTTGTTTTAGAGCTATAATACAACATCTAATTATAATTATTGCTATTGTTATTTAATGGGCAAGATTATATTATTAAGTTTTAACCAGGAATGAGCTACATCTTTTTTCTATCAAAATTACTCTTGATTCTAGATTACTCATTGTTGGCAGATGGCCCTGAAGTAAGTATGGGGGAGGGTAAAGACAAAATGGGTGGATTCACTAATATTTTTTCTTTCCAACTCTCCCTTTTCTCCTTTGTAATACCTGCTTGTCACTCTCTTCCAAACAGCAGGTTGCCAAAGTACAAACTCAAGTAATCACTTGCATAGCACTTTTGAATTCTGAATTAGACCAAGGGTCACCCCAGTCTAAACTCTCACATTCAGCAATAGTGGATAAATACAGCTGTGGTCCATAACCATATTTTCATACTGAAGTAAACCCAATGTTATGCAAGCACATTTATGTACTCAATATAGATTTTTTTTTTCTCTTTTCCCCTCCTGCAACCTGCTTCTCAAATCTGCTTTGGAGAATTTGTCAGAATTCTAGAGGAGCTTTGTGGGCATGTGCTAGAAGTTGTAGAATGGAGGATGAGATCAATGTTGTGTGTTCTACTATTCTGTCTGTTCTGCTGTTAGGAAAACACAGCCATATAAAATCTGATTTCTTACTTATGGCATCTGTCTTGCATGGCTTTGATTTCTTGCATGATGGGCATTTGTTCCTGGGAGCCAGAAGTTATTTCTATATCTTGGAGCAAGCTAAAAGAATGCTGCTTGAGGAGACCCAGGGATGATAGTTGCTGTTCAAGTTCCAGGATGAAATTACTGTGATAATCTAGAAGATCCAAAAGTTCATTCTTCGAAGCTTTTTCTACTGAGCCCTCTGGTAAGCGTTCTTGTAGCTGATCAAGAGTCTCTGTTGCTTTTTGCATCTAAACGTAACATTTTTTCAGAAAAAGCAATCTATTAACTTTTTAAAAATTGTCATAATTATACACATATGAATACATGATATCATAATCTATAAACTTTCAAATTCTCAAATTCAACATCCACACATTATGCACCAGCAAACCTGGGGTCGTCACAAAATCTACTCCAACAAGCCATCTTGGAACCAGTGAATATGCCTTTATGATACACATCGGATTCCAAAATCTTCACTAATTTTCTTCAGGGAGGACTTAACTTAAAGTTAGAGTCTAACTTAAAAAGATAGAATAAAGCATCTAAGGCGAAGCTAGAATGTGATGGGATCGTAGCAGCTTGCCTTTTGACATGGTCCTTTGGTAAATTAACAGCCTTATAGTGAAGCAGGAAGATTGCATAGAAACACTGATAGTACCTATTATTAAAGCCTTTACTTATAACTTACATGGGCACCTTTGTTGATTAGAAGGCTGGGTTAAATAAAGCATATATATATTTAAAAATAATAATCTTACAGGCAATGCTGTACTTAGATGTTAAATATTTCATCATATCTCAGTGTTTTCTAGTTTGTCTAGACAAGTCTTTCTCAGCTGGGGTGCGGCAGAATTCTAGGGTTCTGGGAGAGGTTGTTAGGGGTTCCACAATGGATTGTGATTTAAAAAATACATCATTTTTTGATTTTGTGTGCCACACAATCCGAGCAATTGCAGTGGTGACAATTTTTACATGCTGTGACTCAGCTGCAGCCTGCCACTTTGCTACTGTTGTAAATGTTATAAAAGGTGGATTGTGTAGATTAGAAGCAAATAGTATTATGAAGCTTTGGGATTTTTTTTCTTTGTGATTTTTATGCAGGGGTTTCTCAGACCTGAAAATTATTTCAAGGGTTCCTCCAGGGTAAAAAGGTTGAGAAAGGTTAGTCTAGACAATTAAATAACAAGTACAAAGTTGAACGCCATGCCTGATCATAGGATGCAAGAGATGCAACTAATCACATGAATGTTCTGAAGTTAAGTTTTTTTAGTTCAGAGAGTCCTACCTTGTTAAGTGGAATTTACTACTTATTTAATACATGAAAAATATTTCTGTCTTTGTTTCCTATTCTTTCAGTGTAACATTTAGATTCAAAATAGCAGGTGCTTTGCAACAGTAGAAAGTATTTCTGTTAAAACTATTCAGAGTACCAATCTCACCTTCCTTCTGCATCCCTCTACTTCACAGAGTAACCAAGAGCCCAGAAACAAAATAAATACCAGGAAAACGTTGATAATCAGTGCGTTGACTGCTGTGAGCAGAAGCTAACACTAGATAAAAGTTTGAATGTTAACATTGTAAATGCAATGTATAGATGTGATGTGTTAACGGTTACAAAGAATATTTATAGACACTGAATAAACCTGATCCTTATACCTTGTCATTAAATACATTCCATTTCTGCATTGATTCTTCCAAAATCCTTTCTTGTTCTTGGGCAACACTTCTGAGTCTGGTCCACCGCTGCCAAACAGTTGTCATAGAGCGACTTATGGTTGCCCTGCTGGCTTCATTGCCTGTTTTCTCCAGGACGGATGCCTTTTCCTCCAGTGAAGTGATTGTCTCATGAAAAGAATTTACTGTAGAGACTAGCGACTGAAAAAGCAAAAGAAATTATCTTTCCTGCTTCACAAGACAGCTCTAAAACTTTGAACAAACATTATGCATTATAGCAGAACCAAAACAAAGTATTCAGTTTAGTGCAAGTTTTAATATTATAATTCTTCTTTCCATTAGGGATAACATTTTCATTTAGAATTTATACTAGCAAGATATAATTTTTACTTTTCACAGAAACATCCAGTTTTTGTACATGTGTGTGAATAGATAGATGAGTAGATATAGATGGATCAATACAGATGTGCGAGTGTGTAATGGTATGTGGAAATGATCATGGGAGACCGGGTGAAGAGGTTTTTTTACAGCCCGATAACTTAGGGACAGTCCCTCCTGAGCTGAGTGTGTGTGTTTGTGTGTATTCACATTCCAATGCAATATGTATTATTCAACGCTCATCTTACAAACCATTCAGTTTAAGCTACATAATAGTAATTTCATTGTATAATTTTCAGAACATTATATAATTTGGGCTACAAACAGGTGTGACAATATTTTTTTGCAATTGTGAAAGAACAGTGCAATTGTGAAAGAACACATTTTATTCTGAAATAAAATCAGTATTGAACTACTTTCACTTGCCTAAAAATAAAACTCTAGTATTGAAAAAGTGCAATTAATGCCATGGTAAAATCATTTCATAAATTTGGCCAGTTCTGAGTTCATTTGTTACCTTATCATTTGTTTAGAATCATCCCTTAGAGAAGAGGCATTTTTCACAGCACAAACCCAGTAGACAAAGGTTTGTCTTTCACTGGAAAAAATGACTTTTAAGAAGTTTACCTTATGTGATATTAATTTTTCCTCTGCTTCCAGTTGGGAAGAGGTTTTAGCTACAGAAAATTCAGATAATTTCTTTTCAGACTCATTCATCAAGTCAATAATATGTTGTCTTGCTATTTGGTATTCCTGCCACTGAGAAGCACACCTTGAAGAATCAAATATAATCAGAAATATGTCATACATCATGAACCATAAATTAGACAAAATACAATCTAAGAATGTGTTGTAGATAAATAAATAAAAACATTTTGTTGTTGCTAACAAATATGCTTTGGCATTAAACTCAAAGTGCAACATTTACCCTTTAAATGGTATAATTTGAGGGAAGACATTTAATAATGTGGTATTTTTCCCATGATTGACCTCTAAATGGCATGACAAGATCCTAATAAATTATACTGGCCAGCAGTAAGATATGAACACTAAATATAACTTCTATGAGGCACTTTTTCTTGAGACAGAGAGAGAGAGAGAAAGAGAGAGAGATTGAGATTTAATTCAGTCAAGTTGCAGTGGTCTCCCAAAATAGAAGCTACTAGTGTTTTTTGGTAAAAATGCCTTTTAAATCTTTATGCAGATACGTCATGCTGTAATTCATATTACAGCAGCTGAGCATGCAGGTGATCTGCAGAACTGAGGATAAAGGTGGATACCTATGCTACAAACAAGTATATTTTTAAGTATTGCTCTTGTAACCAACAGCAAAAACTGCGTTAATCTGCAAGAAGATGCAACTAATAAGAGATCTCCCATAAATATTTTTATAAAGAAACTCATGGGGTCATTTTCTTTCCCAACTGAACTGCATCTTTCTATTCTACCTTACCGTTTTTTACAGCAACCTATCACAATTATTTACTGGATAATTTATTTAATACAGCATTTCATACAATGAACAAGGTTGGAAAAGAATGTACGTACAATATGGCTTTTGGAATTCTTTCTAACCCATTTATCAGTAGTGGCCATAGGAGGTTCTGGTATTTTCTTCTTTTTAATGAAATAATATGTTGAGTCTGTGTTGTATGTGTGTACCTTCTCCCTAGAGACTAATGACAGTGTGTGCATATATGTTACCTCTGTGTGTGTTTCTGTGCATGCATGTGCTTGTATGTGTCTGTGAAGGTCCAATCAGGATGGGTTTGTAAATGTTGCATCTGTGTGCACTGAGAAGCACAAGGCTGGATTAGAAAAGAATAAAAAGGTACCTTTGTAATAACTCTTTCTGACACTGTGCTTCTTGTTCTATTTCCATGCACTTCTCTTCTAAAGTTTTCACATTCTGCTCCAGAACCTCTTTTCTTGAGGCTTGAAGGAATGGCTCCATGTCAGACACAAGCATCTTTACTTCTTTCAAATGGAGTTGGAACTCCTTTTCAGTGCTAAAAAATTCTGTATGGTTTCTTAGGTTTTCTTCTGAATTCTCTGTATCAAGGCCATTTTGTGCAAATTGTAGCAATTCCTGAGCATCTTCAAGCCAGTTGTTAGCAGTTTGGGCAACCTGGTAGTATCTTTGGCAAAGGCTGTATAATTTAGTCAAATTTTCCTGAAAACAAAACAAAACAATAAAAACAATATATATGAATAATAATAACTATAATTCTAATGTTCAGATTCAGGGTAATGCAGCAGGATACACACACTGGAATTCTCCTACAATCAACAAGTGATCCCAAAATATTTCACATCAGGAAATTGTGCTTGACTTCAGAATGGGAATGTTTATCTAACTGCACATGTAGCTTATCTGTCTCATTTAATAAATAAATTCTAGTAGCATTCCAAAAGATATTTAAGATCCTGGATAATTCCATGGATGTTCAAGACCACAGAGTAGAAACTGCCACGCAAACAGACTCCTTTTTCTCCTCTAAGTAATTAAAAGCCACTCATGATGTCTTAAAACAAGGCTGTGATCCTAGAGCATATATCCTATGAAACAAGTTTACGATTAGGCTATTTGCCTGGTATTGACACTTATTCCACAGTGAAAACAGGGATAAAAAGAAGATATTAAGGGAATATCTCAGGAATCTGGTAACTCAAAAAGCTTGTGGCAAGAATTTTCAGAAATGCAATCTCTGAAGTTGTCATATTTGGAATAGTAGAGATGCGATTGTCCCCTGTGATGAAAAGAAAATGGTCTTCTATGTGTAACAATGATTTACTCAAAACATTTATATTAATTATGTTTTCTAGGTTTCAGGTTCAGAATTAGAGGAACAATTTGATGCATTTTTAGTCTTTATATTATCTTTATTGCTTTAGATTATAATGAAGATCTGGCACCTATATATCACTGAAATGCAGCCTGAGCAGATTTGTTATTCCACATCCATTCTACTATGGTAAGTCATTAAAAACAGTTCTTTTTAATGGCTTAAAAAGGGGAATGCAGGACATACTGACCTGCCTCTTTTGTATTGCTTCCTGGACTTTACTGTTGAGTTCAGAGAGCTCAGTGAGGCTGTTTTCCAAGTCCGCAGGAACCAGTTCTTTGGCTTTCATATATTTCTCCTTTTCTTTATTGCTTAGTGCTCTCATTATCCTTAGGCTAGACTGTACTTCTTCCTGCTGGATCTGAACTTTGCGGATCTCTTCTTGAATGCTATTCAGTTTTACGTCCGTGCTTAATGGTTCATTCAGGTCTGCTTTAATGTGTCTCAGCCAATCCAGGGAGCGACAGATTTCAGTTTGAAAATCTATGCTTTCTATCAGCCTGTTTTCACACTCCATCACTTTATCTCCAATGGCAGTGTGCAATATCTTCAGTGTTTCCTGCCAAGTTTGCACTTGATGATCAGCTCCTTCATGAACAGATGGGTCAAGCTGGGAAGAAAGCACTTCAAGATGTTCAGCAACGTGTTTCAAAAGGATTCCAGAATCTTGCAGACTACCAACTAAGAAATGATACATTTTCAGCTTTTCTTCAGCTGGAAGTGTTTCTTCATTCACTTCTGCTTCTTTTTCTTTTATGGAATTTAGCTTCATCTCAAGCTGCTTACACATTTCTTCATGTTCCTGATAAGCCACCATCATGTCTTCTAATTGGTTAACTTTTTGTTCTAGCTGCCTTTTTAATTTGTGATACAGTGTAGTGAGCATTATCATCTCTTCTGGTAGCCATGGCTGCCCGGTGCTTCGAAAAGCTTCCTTCTTCTGGTTTAATTCATCTACTGCAGCACCAAGGTGTATGACTTCAGTTAGGACATTTTTGTAATCTTCCAGGAGTGACACAACTTCTTTAGCTGTAAGAGTAGAGGGGGTTTTACGCAAATTTACAAGCTGATCTTCCAGTTCAGCCAGTGCCTTTGTTGTCAATTCAATTAATGATGCATATTCTTTACGGGCCATAATTGCTTCTTGGACTTTACAGAATTTATCTTTAGCCAAAGCAATGATCATATTAAATTGTTGAGGCAAGGCACTGAGTTTTTCCTCAAGGTAGGAACGATCCATTTCGTTAAGTGATGGTATAATTTCCTGGCCATCTTTTTGAACTATCAACAAAAGACTTTCATATTCAGGAAACTGTTCAAGAATCTGCTGATACTTTGCTAACTGAGAATAAAGTTCTGAGTTACTATTCATTAAATTGATTTCCGGGAATGAAATAATATCAGATTGCTTTAACCAGTGGCATGCTTTATCCAAATCTTCCTTGAAGTATTTCCTGGAAACTATATGTTTTTCCAGTTCTATTAGTCGCTGGCCACATTTTTGTAAAATCATATCATACATGTTCTGCAGCTCTTGTAGTTTATTTAACACTTCACTTTTCTCTTGTTCTGTTGTTTCCTTCATAAGATTCCTCCCTTGAAACCACAGTCCAGAGATTTCACTTTGGTAGGCCTTAAGGCTGGCTTGTATACTCTTACAAGACCTGTTCTGTTTGCTCACATCTTCTGGTAACAGACAGATATGTTCATGGAACATTAACTTTTTCTCATATTGTTTAATTTGATTCTTTGCCTGAAGGGCTGCTAGGAAGAACTGATTCCTCTCAGATAATGTCTTATTTAGGTGCTTTCTCCTCTGCCAAACCAGATCACTAAGGAAATCCACATGATTTTGGGCATCTGATAGACTTTTTTGGAGTAGTTGTCTTTCACTAAGCCCTAAATTAGTTTTCACTCTATCAGCATCCTTTATTAGTGTTTTCAAAACAAGCTGCTTGGCTTCTACTTCACTACAAAGGGTGAGATGATTCATGAGAAAATTTTGAGCCAGCTCAGGAGGTGGGCTGTGTTTAAGAGCTTCAGAGATACTAGGCTGCTGCTCTTCTGCCCACTCCATTAATTCTTGAAGTTTAGCTTGCACAACACTCAGCTCTTGTAATGTGGTAACAGACAGTTGTATTTTTCTCTTGACCTGGTCCTCTAGTTGGATCCAACACTGTTCAAAGTATCCTGACTGTTCTTTTACTAGTTCTCTATCATCCAAATTTAGATGTTCTGTCATTTTTTGCCTCTGTTCCTTTAGGTTTTCAAGAGCAAGCCGTCTATCCTGGAGAGCCACTGATAGCTTTTTCAATGCCTCAAGATGTGTAGCTGTACTCTCAGCATCTGATCTGTTAAAGAAACAGATATACAACAATACAGTAGTCAACATTCCTGTTACAGAGCAAATTTTAGAGAAACCTTTTCCATGGTTATTAGCAACTTTTTCATCAGGTATATGATTGATTCTTATTGCAAAGTACTATGTAAATCTTTTTTTTTTTGACTTACAGTATGAACCTGCAGAATTCATAATATTAAACTCAAATATCACTTCACCATTACAGCTACCAAGTTTTCACCTTGGAGCTGGAAAAAAAGGACACAAATTAATTCATTAATGAAATTCATTCCAATGAGCCTCTACACTTAGCAGCTCAGCTATTGTTGGAAGGAGAAATGTCTTTTTCCCCCCCTCTTCTTGCCTCTACTCATCTGAAACTGTACAACAAAATACTACAAAAAGTATTTTGGAATACAGTTTTGAGTATAGGTTTGCAAATAAGTTGGAGGCTTATGTGAGAAACAGAAGAAATGCCGGAGATTGGTAAATGAGGGTGTAGATGAACTGTGGGATTTGTGGGCTTTTAAACTCTCTCTCTCTTTCCTTCCAAAAGACTGCAAATCTTTTGAAAAAATGGAATAAGTAACAAGAAAACTAGAGGATGCAGGAACTCATCCATTCCTACACACAGCACTTTAAAATCATTTTTATTTGTGTTGTTTGTTTGTAACAACTGAACAAGTATATTACTACAAATTCACAAAGCAAAAACAATGCTACAAACTCCTGAATCTGAATTCTGTGCCTTTACTGTTGATATTCTTAAGATGCTGATACTATAGCAAAGTCACAATAGAAGTGAATGAAGTAACCCATGTTATGCACATAAGCAACAGATGTTATATACTGTTTTATATAGACCCTTTCCCTATTTGCCCCTAACCACAGCATGACCATCTTTTTTTTTTCCTGCATCCTTATATTGTTGCATTCATCCCAACCCCAATCAGCCAAGGCATATTGGGCCATTTTGGTTTTGGTCAGTGGAACAATCCAGATCTCTCCCCCAATATTTGCCAGATGATTGTCAGTTAGAAGTGCTGGATCAAATCAAATAAAAGCTGACCAGGGGTGGTGATTGGCTGCATGATGAAATGAGAGAAAGAAAGACAGCCTTCTGTCTACCACTTCATTGCATAACCCCTCCTGACCCCAGCCCAATTATGCCTATCAGTTGTTATTCATGCTGTTTTTGAACATGGCTTTCAGAAAACTGCTAAACTCATGTTTAACAGCTAATGGCTACTGGAGAGGCGTGTGGTGAAACAAAAGGGGAAAAAGCAGCACTGTACAATCCCTCCCCTGCCCATCACCTATTAGGTTACATTTTCCAAAAACTGCTAAATCCTATATTTAAAATACCCTAACAACAACTGACATGTCCAGGGGGGAAGGGGAGGTTGTGCAGTGATGTGAGAGGGAAATCTCTTGCTGCACTAACCAATATTTGTTGCCTGTTAAGCTACTTTTAAACATAGAAAGAGCACTAAACATATTTAATGCTCTTGCAGAGGAGTACTAAGCCTATGCTTAAAAGTAGCCAGAAAAAAAACTAGCAGGAGCCAAGAAGCTACATGATATGTTTCAGGCTGGGAAAGCAGACAGTTGAAGCAGGATAAACCATCTTTTTACCCATAAATTCTCTAATCACAAGGATCAGTTTGTGGGGCTGCAGATCTAGAGTTAGCTCCCTGACTTCTGCCCCTTTTCCAGCCCTGGTAGCTGATCCCCAGTCTGGAAGAGGAGGCAGAAGGAGGATTATAGCCAGCTTCTTTGATGCCCCTAAATCTTCAGTCTCATGGATTAGGTGATCCATAGGATTGAAGACATGGTGGGTTAAGTCTCAGCTCCTGTAATGTTATATGGGAATGACCTTGGGAGACAGAAGTAAGAGCTGCAGACTAGGCAACAGTCAGATAACAGGCAGCTGAGCCTGCAGAAGGAATGGGGGCATACCAAATGTCTCAGAAGGGACCTTCCCTAGTTTCTTGGACTGTAAAAGGGGGCAGGGGGGAGATGTACTTTCAAACTTGCAAGATTCTATTAATGTAACCTTACAATAAAGATAGAACTAGTGCTCCTAGGTGTGCTTCTTGTCTGGACTACCTTGCAAGGCTGACCACTCCCCTTCTCCTCCACCTCTCTCAGTTGTAGGAATCAGCTCCAAGGAGCTTGTACAAAAGCCTGCAGTTATGACTTTGATATATGGTCAGAACTGACCTTGCCAGCCCCATCACAGTTAAGGAGAGTGATTGCAGGATGTTTTCATGACAGCTATTGAGACTTGGGAGGGTGTGAGGGAAACCAAACCATGGGAATCCACCCACACCTTTCCTTGACTTGCATACAGAACATAAGGACATCAGCATTTGATGGCATCTTTTCTGTGGCAGAATAGAGATTGGCAATTGGGGCAGCACATTTTATGTTGATTCAGTTTCCTTTTGGCTAAAGACCTGCTGTATAAAACATGAACTGTTCTGGGGGAAAACCCATGGATTGCTTTAGTTGGTTTTACTCCACCTTTCACATCACTGATCTGGCACGGAAGCACATGGGATGCACATGTGTAGCAACTGTGCAATCTAGTGATATTCCCAGTGAAAAAGATCTAAAACAAATGGTGTAACAAAAACATGCTGCTCTCAGATAGCAGGGGCAGTACTGAGTTAAATGGAAAAATAATCTGAATTCTCAGTAATTCTAAATGCTGATCAGGTATCAAAGTACAGCTGCAGATTGTCTTGATTTAATCTGTCAAAAGCCAGGCAAGGAGTCCATCCTTACCTTGCCAAGTGGTCCCATTCCTGTGTAAAGTTTTCCAAAAACATTTCTACCGCATGTAGGCAATCATGATATTCTGTGGTCCTCTGAAGATCTTCTTCTCTACGTAAGAGCACATTGCTGGTTTGAAGACAAAGGTCCAGCCAATAGTTGCTCAAGCGTCCTATTTCCTTATGTTCCGGTGACTCCTGCCCTTCTGTCAATTTGCTCACTTTTTCAGTCACTGCAGTCAAAGCTGCCTGTTTAGATTGCAGCTTCTGGCTGAAGTTCTTAATATTAAGAGATACAAAAAAGAAAATAGCAGGAAAGAATTCTGTTAACATCTAAAATAAGTTACTGAATTGACTTTCAGATTCTACCACAAAGCCATAAATTAAGACAAATGCCTCTCTCTCTTTCATGAGATTGCAATATTTTTTGTTTTACTGACTCCTTGGGAAACAATGTGATAAGAGTTGTTTGAAACAGCTACCCTTTCTGTCAGGATCAGAAAGTTGATGAAATACAGAAGAAAGTCCGACTCATCTTTATCCTAGTCCAGGAGTCGGCAAACCATGGCCTGCAGGCCAAATCCGGCCCACCACCTGTTTCTGTACAGCTCATGAACTAAGAATGGGTGGGTGAGTGAGCAGCTGATCACCACACCCAAGCTTCAGCTGAGCTCCAGGGCAAGGGTGGGATGGGGCATCCTGGTGATGGCAGTGACTTCTCAGTGGCCTCCTTGCTGGTTGTTGGCACTGTCCAATGGCTGCCACTGTCCTTGGACTGCAGACTCGCCAGATGCACCTATGGAGATGGAGGAGGGTGGGATCTAGCCCTTTACAGAAAAGGTTTGCCAAGCCCTGTCCTAATCCCATACTCTAAAGTGGCATAATTCTCCATGTGGTCTTACCTTCTTTTTCTATGGAGAGTGAAGAATTAGCCAGAAAGCTGCTGGAAACAGGTAGAAGTATCAATACCTCTTTTTCTCAGGGGGAAAATAATCTACAGTTTATATACAAATGCTCCAGCAAGTTTTTTTCTTTTAAAATAAAACTTTAACTAAGATAAAAAATTAATAGTTTGGATCCGGGCTTTTGGGCAGGTTTTTCTTGTTCCTTGCCTGCTATTTCTTTTCTCCACCATCTCCTTCTCTATACCTCACCTATAGAGGGTTCAAATGCACACTAAAAAAAGAGTGCACTCTTACATAGAACAAACTTGGGAAGGGAAAGGTTAAATACTATTTCTGCTCTAAATTCTCTCTGAAGCTGGTCTTCTTTAAAAAAATATTACTTTGAATTTCCTTTATACTATTTTATATTAAAAATATAGTAGTCCACAGTTTCGAAGATTTAAATTATGTAGTCTTAATAAAAGGCTTTGGTTGTGGGGAAGAAGCTATTTCCATTATTCTTATTTCACATGTAGGTCTAGAGGAGAAATAATGATAAAAGGCTTTCTGTGCATGGGGAAAATACTAATTTATAAATCTTGCACAAAATCTTTCAAATTCAGTCATGGATCTGAACATTTGGAGACAGTATTTGTTGTTAAGAGAACCTTGTTTTAAATGGTGCAAACTAGTATTATCAACACTTTTCTTGACTGAAGAAATCAGAACACTCATTCTCCTAGTTCCTTTATGAGCCCCAAATCTTTATCTGAAATTCAAGCCTGGATCATGATGGATTTACCTCCAGGTAACTCTTTCTACTAGTATCTCCACTGTTTGGGGGAAAAAGTGTTTTTCACTGTGAGTGTAGAAATGAGAGAATCTGGAAAGGTAGATGGTGACAGATCTGTTTTCATGTGTAAGGCTTAGAGTGCATGAGAATTGCAGTATTCTTTGCTTTCAGTCAGAAGTGGACCAAAATATTTAATCCCTGGTGCAAAGGATAAGATACCACTGTGACTTATTCCATGTACAAAAATCAGCTGTACTGATGGCTGAATCTTTCTTTATAATTGGTGAAGGAAGAGTAGGTTAATATATATGGCAAGTGGAAGCCAAATAACAATCAAAACTCTTTCTAAACCTTGCTGCTTCTCTAAGTGTACCTTGCTACTTCTCTAAGCCACTTCATTCTGCTTAGCAGATCTGCCTATGCTTTCATCACTTCATGCAAGCAGAAGTTGCTAAAACTAAAAAAGCCAATCTTATTTTCCATCAGCTCCTGTTCCTTTTTTTTACAAAGGCTTTAGCTTATGGTTTAGAGAACTGTCTCTTTTAAATAAGCCACATGGAAGTCCTGTTCCTACCCCAGAAGCAATCCAACCATAACATGTTATAATCCAATCTGTTAGCCAAATTAAGCAACAGGCTTGGTGTACAATTTAAAGTTTGGTGTAGGCAGTCCACCTTGTTCATTCAAGTATTATAAAATCTTAAACATTGCCCGCAGTCTTTTATTAGACCATATACAATTGGTGGTTTTTCTCTGCCGGTCATCTATTGCCTTATCTTCAATTCTTCTTGGAATCATTGGGAACAAAACATTAAACCTTAATACGATGTTCATTTTTACTGCTGCATTTTTTCCTAACCAAGACAGCTTCTAGAAGTATCTCCCGTTATACTTTCTCAGATCAGGGAGTAATTGTTCATAATTTTTTTTATTATGCTTTGTTAAATAGATTCCCAAATACCAAATCTTTTTAGCAATAACGTTGAACCTCATTGCTTGCTGTAAATAGATTTCCTTCCTCAGATAAGTTCCATGTCATCATTTCAGTCTTGTTCCTACTAATCCAATTATGCTGAACTGTACTGCTGTGTATATTCCATTTTCAGTTCTAAAGAGTGCTTGGATGAGTAACTGTAAGTGCAACATCATCTGCATATAATTTTATGTACCTGATATGATCATTTATTTCCTGAAATTTTATTTTCTTGCATCTTTTTTATTTCAACTTTAGAGAACCTCTTGTTCACAGATTATAGTTTATTTTATGGAAACGGAGGCAGTTATAGAATTCAAAAAGGCACTTCAACTCTCTACCTTCTAACACAGTGTAGCATGACTGAAAAAGTGCCACTCCTGCTCCGCTTCTTTCTGAGTGCCTGCATTTGTTCTAAATAAATAATATATAATAGTAAGGTGCATGTTTCAAAATGATTTGTAAGAAATGTGTCAAAGTTTCTGAAGTGCAGCGTTTTTGCTGCTGTTCACTAAAGCAGACTGTCTTTTTCAGGTTTCTATTTGAGCTTTAAAAATATTACTGCTGGTTTAAGAATTGTATTAATTTTCCATGGTCATATGGAAGTCAGACAATTTCAGAAGTAAACTATGAATTCTGTATTTCTTGTTAATAAAATAAGAGCTGCTCCTTACCTTTACCTGCAAAACCATATTATGAGCAATATTTAATTCCAGCTCTGCCCCTCGTCTCTTTATATTCTGCAGTTGCTGTTCTGCATCCTGGAAATAAATCCAAAGTTCTTCTTTCATTTGCTTTATTTCCTCCCAGCCCTGAGCAAGATACTGGGAGTTCATTATCCTATCTTCAATCTGAAAAATACAGGAAAGGGTAATGGAAATATTTTAATGTAATTATTTTGGGCTGTCTTAGATGTACACTGTCCATTTATGTAGGTCAGATTCTTGTAGCAGGTTTACACTAGAAGGTGGGGATAACCTATAGGGATGGAAGATAAAGGAAGCTTTTATCTCTAATGTTCATGGTATCTTAACCCTATGCACATTAAAACAGTTGTAACCATCCTTATAACAGTTATAATTCATTAAAGATTCAACCTTAATATAGCATCCTTAACAAGTCAGATGAACCTCCTTGTCAGAAAGTAGCAGATTTTCTTAAAGAATTAAACACAGCAAAGGTTTATTATCTTTGGATTCTATTTTGAGTTATATTCTTTCCTCCTTCTTTATTATCTTTCATTCTGGAGTTTAAGGAAACAACTTCTGTAAGCGTAGCTGTAAGCATATTTCTTAATTACCTAACTGGTGAGAAAGTAAGATAATCACATGTCTAAGAAGAATTAGAGAACAGCTTCTACAATTTGCCTCATACAATCTGCTTCGTTAATTGAAGTACAGTATCATTTCTTCAAACCAATTATTACCTAATATGAACCTGTAAAAAAACATAATTACATGTCTAAGAAGGATTACAGAACAGCTGTTATAGTTTATCCCATACCGTTTGCTTTGCTACTTGAATGTCTGTTGCTGCATTTTTCACTTTGCTGTCTGATAAATCACCCATGGAGCATAATAGATCCAAATAGGTGTTTGCCTGCTCTTGTAGGGCTCTGAAATGCTTCACCTAGAAAGAATAAGTGAAGATGAACAACAAAACATAGATTATCAAAGTCCCCTGAAAATGCTTTGAAAATGATAAAAAATAGCAATATTGCTACTTTTTTAAATCAGTGCAAAATAATAAACTGTTCAGAATATTGGTATAAATTACGTATTTCTTTCTGGAAATATTAGTAACACAAGGGACTCTGTATTGATTATGCTTCTGAATTGTCCACAACATTAAGAATGTGAATAGTTCAGATTGCATTTAACTTTTTAATTAAAAGTATCTCTTGGGCTTCCACAGATCTGCGTATATGTCATATATATGTTTCAGTGGATTTGCCCAGCTGAGGTCTGAACCACTTTTTCACTGAAGAAAAAGGACAGGATTCAGCTTTTTACTGCAGAATTAAAAACAACAGATGGACTGTCTGCACAAACTATTCTCCATCTGAACACATTCATCATTGTATGGTTCCTTTCCATAGGTCTTAATCCAGTCCAGTCTTCATAGCATTACCATCTCAAATATAATATTTTTGAAAGTCTGTTCTCCTAAAAGAAAAATGTGTTTTTATATTTGCACAGTAAACTTAGAAGGATAATTATTTGTGTGTAGTAAAACACAAGAATACCACTAGGTTTTGTCACTATGGATCTATTCTATGTTAAATTTATAAGCAGCATATTTCAAAGGTTCACCCTGGTGAATACCCAAAAATACCATTCTAGGGAAAATGATCTCAAATTAATAGTAGCTAGTAAAGTAAGCATTTGCATATTTATGCTGTGTATTTCTCTCTCTGTGTTTGTCTTTATCAGTTATTTTCCGAGAAAGGCGATGACACATAATAAATACATTCTTTCAGCAACATGTTGAACACTGAGGTTAAATAAGCAGAAATATTAGATGAGTATAAGATTTAAGATATCAAAACATGTCTCAAGAACAGAAACAAATTTTTAATGGTTAATAGATTTGTAGAGTTTACACATCGAACTTTGTATACAACACAATCGGTTTAACAAATGCCATAAACTACATAAACAAGTGAGCTTGTTTTGTTTAGTGCAAAACTGTGTGATTTGAAAAGTATTCAGTACTTTGAAAAGGAAAATATTTTGAGATGGAATCCTTGAATTTCGTCTAAGAACTCTGTAGAAAATCTCTAAGATTTCTTATTGGTATATTTTTGATGTATGGACTGTTTTAACCACATTTTTCCATGTAGATTGCTCATACCTGCTTAACAGCATCTGCTGAACTGGAAGGTCGATGAGGATTTGCCTCTAACTCTGGACAAACTGTAGTGAGCCAAGCCTGGCACTGCTGAAGGGTATCCTGATGGTTAACATGTTTCTGGAGTTCGTATTCCAAACTTTGGTATACCTACAAGAAGTAAAGAATTCCTTTAATATCAATGCTCCATTCTTATCAACTGAAAATGGACCCTTGGCCAAGAAGGTAGTCTGGCAGGTTAAACTGAGTTCTAGACTGTAGACATAATTGTACTTTTATAATGCTAATTAATATAAAGTTAATATTTCCTCCACACATGTTATTCCACAGTTTGTCTTGAAATATTCTACTTTTGAGAATGTTTTCAAGATTTTTCCCCATCTATTATTAAATTCATTCTTCAGAAACTGTTAGGAAACGATTCCAGGATCTTATTTATTTTGAGCCAGTTTGTACCATAACTGCCACCAGTTTGTTCCCCTGTCCCCTGCTCAACATTAACAGATTGATGCTTACTCTTTGAGTAGTGCTACAGATGGCTGAATAGCTATCTCTTGTTCCCTGCAGCTGGGTTTCTATGTTTTGCTTAAATTTTGCTTGGAGATGTTCTGCACACTCTTTGATTAAGTAATCTCCCTTGCTTTTAAGGATGTTCAGGTGATCTTCAAATCCTGCAATTTCTTCCATTGTTGCCTAAGAGAGCAGCATTGAAAAGATTATGAAGTAGTCTTAAATTACAGGAAGGTCAAAATTCTCTTAAATGATAGGAAAATATATTACAATTGAATGTTAAGGAAAACCTGTCTAACAATGAGTTCTACAGTGGAACCAATTACTGAGGTTGTAAACTCTAAATCCTTACAGGATGTGTTCAAACAGAGGCTGAACAGGTATGCTTAATTTGAATTGCCACATTGAGCAGAGAATTTATGACTAAATGTCCCCTTCCAACTTTATGATGCTATTTACGTGCTGCCCAGTTAATTCCAAAAATTTTCTCAATAACCCTAACACATTTGTTCATTTTTGAAAGGTTTTTGAAACACCTGAGTAAGCTTTTTATAGGTTATAATTTTAAAATATTTTACAATTTTTTAAAAAAAATAATTCAGCTTTATCTTTTTTAAAAACCTTAGTAGTTGGCATACATAAAGTCTAATAAAAAGAAATATTTTCTGGGATTTATAAGAAAAATATGTATAAGATATATACATATATCTTATATATAGCTTCCTATGTCTACAAACATAGGAAGCTATATATAAGATCTTACATTATAAATCAACAAAAAAATGATTTAATGTTAAAATTACAGCAATGTTTATATACTGTATTACAATCAAGAGATGCCCGTTAAGGCATCAGGCTAGAAACTGAGAAACTGTGAGTTCTAGTCCCGCCTATGGAAAAAGCCAGCTGAGTGACCTTGGGCCAGTCACTTTCTCTCAGCCCTAGGAAAAAGGCAAGGGGAAATCACTTCTGAAAAATGTTGCTAAGAAAATTGCAGGGACTTGTCCAGGCAGTCTCTGAGAATCGGACATGACTGAACAGTTAAAAAAAAATTACAATCATACTATATATAATGTTTGTTGAAAATAATCTAATATTTGGGGAAGGTAGTAGTCTTTTCCTTAAGAAACATTGGATACATACTGTTTCTATGTATTTCTGTATATATAATATCAATATTTATATATCTGTAGGCAATAATGAAAAATCCAATTGGCTGGTGTGGGTCTTCCGGGCTGTGTGGCCGTGTTCTT